AAAATTCAAATAATTAGTTAGTAATATAAGATAATTAAAAATATATATAAGATAATAAAATTTAAATAATTAAATAAAATAGAGGTAAAGAAGAATTAGTAAAGAAAAATAGAGGTAAAAGGAGAATTGGTAAAGAGAATAGGTAATAATATAACATAATATAAAGGAAAAAAACTAAAGAATATGAATATATTGGAAGAAAAAAAATTAAAGCTAAGTATTGATTAATAACTAATAAATAAGATTTAATGAAAAATAAAAGAAAATTAACTATAATTATGAGAACTAAAAGATTGAGAAAGTGTTGAATTTGACAAAGAGGACAAGAAAGAAACGAATAGAAGATTGATAACAAATGGCAAGAGTGAGCCATGATATTTATAAATGGGCATGACATATTTCGGTCAATCATATTGACCGAAATAAATGGCTCAAAATTTTCAAACACTTTCCCACAAATAAACCAGCGGGAATGTCTTGCTAATTCAGTCAAAATATATGACCGAATTTATGTAGAGGGAATTTCAAAATTTTTCCAAAATTTTCCAGCGGGATCCTATTTTGATTTTGTTTTTTTTTTTTTCCCTTATTTCGGTTAAGAGATTTGACCAAATTATTCATTTCACTAAATTTAAGATCAATTGTTAACCAGGGCATGGGATATCATGTTGCCATTTTTTGGTCAATTTACTTGACCGAAATGTATGTCACGGATTTTGCCTATTTCAGTCAAGTTTATTGATTGAAATAGGTTGTTAGTCTGCTTTTGTTAAGTCTTATTTTTTTCCCTGGGATTTTGCATATTTCGGTCAATAAACTTGACCGAAATAAGTTGTTCATGTTGCCATTTTTCAGTCAATTTACTTGACCGAAATGTATATCACATTTTTCTGGGATTTTGCCTATTTCGGTCAAGTTTATTGACCGAAATAGGTTGTTAAGTCTCCAGCGTTTCTCCTTTTGTTAAGTCTTATTTTTTTAGTTAATTTGTTTAAAACTTTTTTAGATAAAATTTTTAACAATTATAAGGCTCTATATTCAATTCTAAACATATATTAAAACATGTAATTGAAATACATAAATATAAAAAATAACTTAATATTATAATTAAAATGTCATGACATAAAATACTAATTAAAGTGCTATATCTGATCATAATCTCATACATGGATAAGGCAAATTAGAAAATATATTACAAAATATAGGTAAGTTTGGTAAAGAAACTACAGTTCTTGAATGGAACGTACTTTTTCGCATGTCGCATCCCATGATTTTTCTGAAAATGTTAGACGCAAACGACCATTACCTAAGATCTTTGTAACAGTTTTAGAGGACTCAGCATGTGTTTTGGATGAGTTTGACATGATTTCTGATCGATAATGATTTGGGCAAACCTTTGCAGCATGACCCTCACGGTTACACAATTGACAAGTTACTGCATATCGATGCGGGCATATGGTAGCTAAATGTCCAGGAATGTTACATATTTGGCAAGTAATGTTGTCTTCATTTTTAGGCAATGGAATGTCTTGAGGCATTGCTATATGATTCCTTGCGTTTATCAACTTCTTCCTTGGAGAACTTCGAGATGGACAATCTCATATTGCTTCAGGAGTATCTTCAACAATTCCTATATAAATCAACATTAAATTAATTAATTTGTTAGTAAATGGTATGCAGCAACATGAAATAAAAAATTATGGGAGGGAAAAGGAAAAAGAAATTATACCATCATATTGACTATCAAAGTATGGCTAACTGTCTATTTGATTGTCAAAATATGGTTGACTGTCCATCTGGCTATCAAAGCAATCTTGACTATCCATTTTGCTTTAAAAGTAATGTTAACTGTACATTTAGCACATAGTAATTTTATAATAAATTAATTAAATATTATGATGATACTTATTTATCATTCAAGTAAATAATTATATCATAATTTTTTAATTGATTA